AAATAATATAATATATATATATATATATATATAATATAAATTATATAAATTATATAAAATAATATATAATTTATATATTACAATATATATTATATATTATATATAAAATATATAATATATCTATAATATTATATATATATATATATATATTATATATTATATAATATATGTTATTAAAATTTTATATAATATTATAATATATAATTTATAGTATTCCAAATCCCAAAATATTGATGAAACAAACAAAATATTACAAGTTTTAGCATTCCAAATCCCAAAATATTGTTGAAGCAAACACAACCCCCTTTATGGATTTCAAATCCTAAAAGCCACATCATTTATGGATTTCAAATCCCATTTTGAAATCCCAAAAAAAAAATCAAAACAAACACCCCCTAAAACGACTTAGGGCAAAATGGGGCCCACTTGCGGATAAATGGGCTGTGTCTTTGAAACCTTAGCAGTATGGGCTAACTTTTGAGTCAAGGACGGTAAAATTGAGCCAAAACTAATTGTCCACTCATACATCCCCCGTCAAATAAACTGTTCGAACTCACTCAATCTAATCTAATATCAAATTTAATAATAATAATAATTTTTAATATATATCTTATAAAAGTGTGTAGCCATGTTAAAACATTTCTATCAAAAATGCCCTCAAACGCACATACATACATCATAAATTACACATACATTTACATACTAAAATCATTTATTAAATATCATACATACATTGACTCATACATACTTTATGAGGACTTTTAGGGTATCTTGATATCCACATAAAAAATCACAAAACTCTAGATACTTTATGTTGTAATTAATATGTATTTGTTTATTTAGCCTAAAACCTAAATTGCCCTCCTTAATTCTCCACGCATCCTCCTCTTTTCCAATCCCTCCACAAATAAACTGACTCTTCCAAATGTCAATAGATTCAATTATTCTCATCAATTTAGACATTTAATTTTGTAACTTCCCTCCAATTGATTACTAAGGCGACTATTCATATTTATTGTCATTAATTGAAATTTTTTATGTATTCTGAGATTAAATGATTCCAAAGACAGTGGACTTATAGTAGGGTCGGAGCTCAAATGAGATGGACCGAAAGGTTCTATGAGAGGAGTTTAGCTATAGAGCAAGTGGAGGAGGAAGCTTTGGCAGCAAAAAAAATCATTTAAAAAAGATTCATTTTAAAGTTGGTTTCGATCGATGATGAGGCTGAGGAGCATCTGGGAGAGGCAGTCATCGATTTTGTTGACGATGATGATGAGACCGAGGAGAACTAGGAAGATGTAGCAAACCTCATGGTGAATTTGTTGACAATGATAAGCACCGGTGAGAGGTAGCAAAACACGTTGAGAGTTTGTTGACAAGGACCAAGCCGAGAAGCGGAAATGTCCATGTTGACATGTCCACATTAGTAACAAAAATTTATAACCTCCAATGTTCTTATGAAGAAAAGTACCCAGATGGCAACAAATTCATGAGGACACAAAACTGTATATGTGTTTTATGGTTAATCTTAAATTATATCATTACACTAAGATTTGCGATATTATTTACAGTTATTCAATATCTTGTTGTGATCATTTTAGCTACCATTTTTGAATTTATTTAATAACTTGCTCTGATTTTGTGTGTGCGTGGTATTAAGTTAAAATAAGAATGAAGACTTGTTGGGCCTTTTTCACTTGGTCGTGGAACATATATTCCAAGGAGTGGCCATGGGAAGTTAACGAAGGTGGAGGATGACAGTAAGACAGTGGGATGTTAAGACAGTTGTGGTAAACAACAATGATACATTGAGGTCTTTTCGACAATGATAGTAGACAAAGACGAGGCCATAGGACTACTATAAGACGATGGTGGATGAACTAAATGGCACTAGGATCAATTCTACTAATATTTGAGATGAAAAAAATATATTACCTGCTTTGAGATTAAAATAATGCATGTTATGACAAAATCGATGTAAATTATGTTATTGCGGGTGATTTTCATTGCATGTTATGAATCTCCTTATGCTTCCAGAATGAATCGAAGTTAATTCTTATGTTAGTTTCGTTATATAATAGAGATTTATTAATTGAATGCTAAAATACCATTTGAGATTACATAGTAGTGTATTTTGCAAGTCTAGAACACATTGTCAAACTCTAAAAGCAAAATAAGTAAAGTGCTTTATTTTAGCACATATCTAAATGCTTTATTTTTTAGTTCTCTGCTCATTTTAATTCATGTTACATGTTTTCATTTTTTTTGATGGTTAAACTTTTGTGATGAATATTGGATGTCTGTCCCTTGGCCATATGAAAAAGTGAACAAGTTCAATTGTTGTATGGAAGGTACGTAGTTTCTTATTTACTATTTTTTAATTGTTAATATTAATATAATTAGCTATAGTTTAATATTTAAAATGTTTATTAAAATAACTATATCAATGAAAGTATTTTTTTGGCATATATCTAATATTAAATATCAATTTAATAATTTACAAAATATGGTCACTATAGTATGATACACTTAAGATATTTATTAAAATGATAATTCTTTAAGAATAATATTACACTACAACAAAACATAAATACATTATATTATTAGAATGTTGATTCAATATCTATATATTATTCTTTTAGTTATATTAATATAACCATATACCGTGCACTATACTAGTATACTATTATAAAAGTGGATTGACATGTTAAAATATTTCTTCCTAAAGTACTCTCCAAAACACACGCATACATTAATAGAACACATACATACATCCTCCAAAACACATGATATATACATAATAAAACACATATACACATGAACATACATGCATACTTAAATAAGAATAATAATTATTTTTTGTAATTATATTAATAATTTCTTAATTACATTCCTTTATGGTCTGCATTCAATATCTTAATGGACCTCTTCCATCCACTCTCCCCACTTTTTCAGAAGTCCTTTCAATTCCTATTATTACTGTTACTTTTATACACGAATGTCATTAATAAAAAAATTTCACCATCTCTTGCTATCTAAGAAACATTCTCATGCATTTAGGAATTGAAAACGCCTCCTCTCTCTTGCAATTATTACCATAGTGAATCTAATAATATAGCACGATTCTAATAGTGTGAATGATGTTGAAAATTTTTTACTATAAAGCCCTCTAAATTACATGTGCATTACAAAATTGCCTCCGTGGCATTCTCATTCAATTACTTAATAAAAAATTCGATGTCACAATAGTAATTTGAAGAGATTGTTAGACCCTAGAGGGGGGTGATTAGGGTCTTATGCTAATCTAATCCGATTTTATGCTAATTAAAACTTATTAACAAGTATATTCTTGTAAGATAGATATACAAGAGTTATAAGCAAGAATAAGCAATATGAATAAAGAGATATATCCTATATGATAAATATATATAAGGATATGTAAACTAACACAAGGGTAAATAGTATGAACTAGATAGTGGATGATAAAAATAATGAGCTATGGACAATGACGACAAGAAATATAAACATAATATTAAGTGCGTCAAAGCAAACTCAAACACACGATATGATCACGGAGTTCGGACCTTCTGTCCTACTTCTCCGCTCCCCACTCCCGGGGAGAAATCCACTATCACAATCCGGTTTGGAAACCGGAACTTCTACACACTCGGTTTTCTAGCTAACCGAAAATTCTACAACCCACACTCTTGCAAACCCACTCTACACCCTCACAAGTATTGGACCTAGCCGTGTCTCCCTCAAGTGCTCGCACAAGTATTGGACCTAGCCGTGTCTCCCTCAAGTGCTCGGTTACAACCTCTCCCTAGGTTCGTCAACCCACGCCACTCCTCTTGGGACGATCCCCGACTCTCATCACACACTCCTCTCGGTGTACAAGTGTATTACAAAGTGTAT